TCTTTCCCTTCCTAAGACAGTTTACCATGATGAGTATTATCCGGTAATTGAAAGTAACAATCATGGCAAATAGCCAGTTACTACATATTCTTAAATATAAACCATTATATTATAGTCGGCAGATATTTATCGATAAAAAAATTACAACAATAACATGTCGAACTTAAATTTTCATGGAACTAAGATTACAATGGTAAATACTTTGTTTTGAGTGTGTAGTTACTAGTTAGTGGTTTAATCCCTAAATCTTTGTAGAGATGTAGCAAAAATATATGTAGTTACAAATAATTTTATCATATTTATATATGGTTAATTGTTTGAATTTTTTTATACTAACAAATTTAACTCATTTCATAAAAAGTCTGTGGAAGAATACATGATGGAATATGTCAAATTTTTAAGGCTAACATTAGATTCAACTACTCTACCTAAGTTATGAGCAATGAAATTCTCTAGTCCTGGAATGAAACTAACATCATAGTTTCGCAAATTAGATAGTGAGAAATTCTACGGTACTTATATTATTTGGGAGTGTAAGAAAAGTGTAAAAGAAGAAGAAGAATCCTTAGAACCCCGTTTTCAAGTGTTCCTGGACTTCCTGCTCTATTACTCCACTTCGCTAAGTCTTTGATGCCTTCTTTTACTGTTTTCGGCCCTTATATATGCGTTGGAATTAAAAAACTGTGACCTAGTCAAGTATCAAAAGGAACAAAAGAAACAAAAATAAAAAAGAATCAAAGACAAAAGAAAAAGGGAATCTTTGCTAGACTTGTGGAGTTTTGTACCAAATTTTTCATACCTTGGTACTTGGAGTTATTCTTGGACTTTTGGACAATGCTTATTGACCTTATGAGACATTTAATCAAACACCTTAAGTGCATTATTCATTTTAGATCTATTTGATTAAATTTCATTCTAGGACTTAATCTTTTGAGTGCTTGCCTTTCTTTAAAGTGCCTTAATATTAGTTTTGTGTCTTCTTTCTATTCTTAAGTTTGTTACATCAATCTCCACTTGAGTTTAGCCTTTTTAATTGTTCCTTTTTTAGTTTTTCTTCCTTGGCCTCTTGTACTCTTGGCTTTTGGTTTCTTCTTGACCTAGGTGAGGAAAGCTTCTAAACACCACACACCCTGTTGGTGGATTGAGTGGAGGGGCTGTCCGATTTGAGTTCAAGGTGCTTTGGAGGATCACCCAAATCAAAGAGTGCAAACACCATTGAAAGGCTAACCTTGGGTGTTCATTGTGAAGGGGTGGAGAGTTGAAGATTTGAAGACTTGAAATTGTTTTTTTTCGTACTTGTTTCCTTTTGTTCAATTTTTGGCCTCTTGTGTTTTGGCCTTTGTTTTCATTCATTTTGGTTTGTAATTGGCCATTATTAAACATCTTCATTTTAGGGTAACTCGAAGTAGTGCTTGTGGGAGTGGCTTGAATACCACCAAGGTCACTTCAAGCTCCCATCCTAGGGAATCTGACTAGCACATGCTTTAAGTTGCTTTTCTTTGCATGATTTATAACTTTGGTAGTATATTTGCTTAGGTTTTCTTTATCCTATTTGGTCATTTTAGAAGGCTACAAGTTTGCCTACTAGGGGGCCGTGCACACACATACTTAACTCTTGTGCAAAAAAAATTGCTTTGTAAGAAAGGTATAAGAGGGCTTAGTGATTTTTACTTGAGAAGGCTTGGTTTTTAAGTGATTCCTTGTAGTCCACCTCCCTTGATAGTTCAATTTGTACACTTAGGCCTTTTTACACCAATTTTGCACCCTTAAAACTTTTTGTGAAAACTTTTTCATCACTCACTCTTTGTGAAAACCTTTTGAACTCTATTTTTGAAAACTTTTTCTTGATCAAAGATGAGTGATCATTCTAGTGTACATGGTCATAATTCATATAGTAGTAGACCTAGTGTTAGAGAGTTAAAAGAGTATTTGAGAAAAAAAGAGGAGGAAAATATAAAAAGAGAGGAAGAGTTGAGAAAAAGAGAAAAAGAAAATACAAAGAATAATGAAGAAATAAGACAATTACTTGCAAAATTGGTTGAAGGGAGAGAAACTAGTAGATCCAAACCTAGGGTTGTTCCAACTAGGTCTCAAATAGGAAAAGGGGTTATAATCTCTAAGAGTGTGCATGAGGGAGAAAATACAAAAAGAGAGGAAGAACTTAGATGAAAGGAAAAAGAAAAGAAAATACAAATAAAGAAAGAAAACAAGAAGAAAAGTATAGAGAGAGTTGAAGAGTGGTTAGAAAAAGAAAAACAAACAATACTCCTAGAGAAGAGTAAAGAGGATAATATTTCCTCCAAAGGGCTTATGCTTAAAGAAAGGCACTTTACCATTGAAAATGATTTGAAAAAGACTATCTTTATTCATCAAGACCTTAACACTTTCTCTCATGTT